CAATAAATGTCAGATACTTTAAGACGTACTCAAGTACTATTCTTAGAGAAGACTAACTTTTACCAGTAAGTAAAAATTAATTAATTAATTAATTAATTAATTACTGGTAAGATACCTGTATTTTATTTAATACTGGTGGATCAAAAGAAACAAAACAAAATTTCAAAAACCTTTGTTTTATTGGCCACCATAAAAGACGAAACACTGTTTTTTGCCATGATGTGTTAGCAAAATATGTGATGAAACACTTGRTCAGTTTWATTGAAACTTTCAGAAAATAACCAYAGGACCTACGGCTGCCACAGCCAACTAAACATCTGAGATCCAAAGACGGCCATAAAGGTACAATTTTATAACAGATAAGCTGAAATTTGGTGTCATTCACAACATAAACACCAAGTATTCTGTATATTAGCAGTATTTTTGTTCTGTGCATGAGAACATTAATTTGAACAACAAAAGTGACAAAAAAAACCCTTCTATATTAAACATCTTTTTAAAACCAATAGAAGATTAAATATGAGGGTCATGCTATGAAAGAATTTTACCAAGAATAATCTAAAATATCAACTAAACATAAAAGGCCAAGAATTCCTTGAAGAAATGCATATCTCCTGCAGCCTTTCTTAGCWAATATTTGACTTAAAATCATCTAATGTTCAAACGTACAGTTGTAGATGTGTCCAATGATTACATTCTGCAAGTTCAACAGAAATTTGTCACGTGGTTCATGAAATATTTCGCTAACAGTACTGCTGCCCRCCTTTCAACAGTGGACAATGAGAAAAGAGAAAAGCAGACGCACCAGCAAAATGTTACAATCCTTGGCAGCACAAGGCAGCTTAACACATTTAATTTATACACAACTTTTGTTTTTGTGTACCTGTGGTGAGACGTTTACGATGTTGGGGTGGACCTCTGATCCATTGGTGTGTGTTTCTGTCCTTGTATCGACTCTTTTCAGCTTGTGGGCCACACTCACAGCACTGGGGTCTTTTTTTGCCACTGGAGGCTGTAAAAAAAAATACAGAAAGTACATTTGAAGCAAGCCCATTGTGTCCTCTTGTCATTTCAAATGAAAAGACTAAACACTTAAAGAAACGAATGGTAAACAGAAAAAATATATATATTTTATTAAGATATTTGGGTTGGATGAAGCAAGGCAATTTAAAACATAAATTTGCCTTAAAAAATAAGTTTGAAAGAAAATAAAACAACAAAATCAAACATTATTCAGTTCCACAGTCATGCACACGGATGGCAGCATTAACAGCAAGGCGGGGTGAATCCAAAGGATCATGATGATGATGATGAAGGATGAACACGACCATCTGTCTACCTCAGGATGTGTTCTTTCCTCAGGAAGCTTCTCCTCCATRGGAACCTTGTCCCTGGAGCCCATCAGACGGGCAGAGTAGAATCTGGAGGTCTCTTCAAAGTCCTCCCGCCCCACCTCTGGCTGCTGCTCCCGCTCTCCCAACGCTGACGTGAACTTAGAAAAGTCCTCCGTCCCTGGGTGGAGGTCTGTGATGACAGTGAAGTCCACCTCGGCCTCCAGGCTGGATGTAGAGCTGACTGTCATACTGGAACACTTGCGCTCTATGCCCAGCTGGGTTTCCCTCATACAGACCATCGTATTCTGGTCCTGGTCCTCCTCTGAGGCCACACCCGGCTGTGGCCTCC